ATGATTTTTCTACCAAAACGATTGTTTGACTTACACCTGGCACTTCATTATAGTGTCACACCATTTATTTCATCATGTATTTTTTATTTCTTTTGTTCGTTCTCATCTTTGACCTCAAGTCCTCAAGGTCTCGCACTCTCGCCCATATTTACTGATTTCCTCCTCCGTAATTCAACTATCAACCATTGATTTTTACATGAACAATACATCCTTAAATACTTTGAAATTGACTTATTAGAATTTTGTTTTGATTTTTGACCATCCTTATATATGTTCGTTCTCATTTTGATTTTTGACCATTATTACATTTTACTTTTTCTGTTTTCTGAATAACACGTTTTAATTTTTTATATTTGTCAACGCATTATTTCAGTGATTAATACTCGTATATTTAATTATTTATGTGTTAAAATTATAATAAATGTTAATATTACAAAAATAAATTTTGAGACTGTTTTAACAAGACTCACATAATTAACTACATTTTATCATAACTGCAAGGCCTTGTTCTTTTGAGCTTTTGAACAAAATTAAACAGAACAATTATTTAGATGTGAAAATTCTACAATGGTCATCCTTAAAATGACTGTTTCTATTCTTAATTCTTGTTGGTCGATTTTTGATTTATTTTTATACTCGGTCAAACTTTTTTTTTTAATTTTCTCTTTTTTAATCAATTTTTTATTTTCGAAAATTATTTTCTAGGTCATGGATAATTATTTATTTATTTTCATAATAGTTATTAATATTAGTTTTTAAAAAAACAAAGAATAAATATTAATTAAATTAAGGAAATCTAAATCAAAATATTGTTCGTCATTGTTTTTATAATGTTATTAATGTTTTTCATTCATGGATGAAATTAACCACCATTATGGTAATCTTTGTCCCGTAAATACACTCGCACATCAATGAAAATTGAGAATATGCATCGATCTACATATTATATGTGAACTTTGAGTTCATTCGAAATTTGGATTTATGTGTGAATCTGGGATTGTTTTTAATCTGGGATTGTTTTTAATCCTAAAACAATATATATTTGCAAACAAGGGAGGCAAAATCGGTCATTATATGTATGCGAAAATAATAAAAAAAAATTATCAATTTTTCAAAATTTGGATTTGTGAGGCAAATCGGAGAAGACAATGATTTTGTTTTGGAATACTTGTTTGATCCAAAAAAAAATATATATATATATAGTCATTTATGTTTGTATATAAGGCATTAACCCAAATGCTAATAGGACATTACCTATAAAACACAGTATTATTGTTTATTTTGTATACGACCATACGTTATTTTGGACATTGTTAATTATTAGTTCATATTGCGCATGCATTAATAATATCCTAATACTTTTCTTAATTGATAGCAAATAGGATCATGGTCCTCAATCCTCATTCACTAGCCAAGTCACAATGTATAAATACAGGTTGGTATCAATGATCAGTTATATATCTGCTATTGTGGTTTGATTTCTGTATGCATATTCCTCAAAATTAAATTAACTCTCAATCAAACCACCTATAGAGCTATTCTAATGACAACCTAATTACCACATTAGATGATTATTTTCTTATCTATCGTGTGACCCAATGGTTGGATTACTTGGATACTAGTTTGTTATTAATTAAATGAACCGTCTTTGTTAATTTTTATAACTTTACAATTATTAAGGAGATTGAGACCAATTTTAAATATATAAGTAATGTCATATCTTAATATTGAATTGGACGAATCCTATATAATAACCAAATGAAAAAAAAAGTGGAAGTAGATCAATTATATGGCAATTTTATTTATTTATTTATTTATTTTAAGAATACAATGGCAAATTGTTAAATATAGTAGATATATTTTTGTATTTATGTAAATTAGGAAAGCTAATATTAAACCCCTTATATTTAGGCTAAAAGCATGCTACTATTGCTAGTTGTATTCCTTATAATTAAGACATATTATGCTTCTGTTTTGTATATACACGTTGTTTTGTATATACACGTAGTCGAGTGCATATAGTCGCATAGAACCTATGTGTTTCACAAGCACATAGAAGGGCATTTTAAGATTTTTTTTTCTCTCTCTCTCTCTTAATGGTACAGTGGTACATTTAATATACACTTATGCATGTAGTGATACTTTTTGCCATCAAATTTTGTACCATCGCTTTTTCTCATGTTCCCATTATTTACAAAGATGTCATCCTATTTATTTCATTGGCACATAGGCCCTATACGCCAATACTTATTCCACGTAGTCTAGCTACATTAATGAGAATCGAAAATATTCTTTTTTCTATTTGTCAAAACAGCGTTACATGTTAAATGTGATTTATTTGTATCTAGTTTGCTACCCAATGGTTAGGTACTACGACTCTACGAGTATTTTTATTTTTTTAATTAGTTTAGTTTTATTTTTAATTTATAGTCTATATTTTATGTGTCATAAAAAATAACTGATAACAACACTATTGTATATCATTGATTTATTTCCTAAACAGTACGTTAGATATTATAATAGAATATTTGAAAAGATTTGGACGACAATTTATATGGGATAACTTATGTATCATTTAGTAAAATATCATTTTTCTAAAAATAAGCAATCAACGGCCATCATATAGGCAATATTCTTCAAATATATCTTAAATCTAATACCTTTCATTGTTAATCTAAATTTCAATTTTGATTGGTTGCTTTAAATACAATATATTTTTATTTTTTTTACCTTATAGAAAGCTGATTTGAATTTCAAATTACACAAACCAAAAAACAAAAATTACTATCCAAACCTATCTTTATTGTTTTGGTTGAAATTTATTTATAACTATATATTATATCTTAAATTATTAGTTATAATAAAATACGAAATTACCAAAAAAAAAGGTTGGCATAAACTATAGCGATTAACCAATTAAGATTTAACAAAGAAGATATTTCGCAATTAAAAAAAGGAGTCAAATATGCTATTATTTATCACGTATCAATACATTTCCTTTTTTTATTAGAAGAAAATTAAAGATTTTTTCAATTTTTACTACATAGGTTCTTTAAAATTTAAATAATCTTTCTAAAATTAAAAGATATTGTGTTCATAGTTTTTTTAAAAAATAATTATATAAGATTCTTATGAATCTTTGTCCAGGGTAGTACATTCTAAAGTAATGTCCTGTTAGAAGTTAGGTTAATGCCTTATACACAAACAAGATTTATAATTCTATCTACATTTTTTTGGATCAAAAAGCTTTTCAAAACAAAACTTATGGTTTCTTCTCCAATTTGACTCACGAACCCAGATTTTCGAAAAATTGATAAATTATTTTAATTTTGTATATAATGGCCGATTTTACATCCCTTGATTGTAATTGTCTGATATTGTTTTAGGATAAAAAACGAACCCAGATTTACACGAATGCTGATTTCGAACGAATTCAAATTTTCACATATAATATGTAGATCGATGCATACTTTCAATCTTCATTGATGTGTGAGTGTATTATAGGACAAAGATTATGATGATGGTGGTTATTTTCATCCATTGATGAAGAATGTTGAAGAACAATATATTGATTTTAATTATCTCAATTTTTGTGATCGAATACATAAATTCGCTAATTTTGCATCTGTTGATTGATATTACAAGAGAAATCTATTTTCTTAGGATTAAAAACCTACCAAGATGCGTTAGAACCCCGAATTTGGATTTATCAAAATTTCACAAATTCTGTATAAATCTGGCCTTATTTCTTTCTCTCCATTGATGCACGACTGAATTTAAGGGACATAGATCATAAATTTATAGTTAATTTCATCAATGGATGAACAAACTTGAAAAACATTGATGAACTATGAAGACAAATTTTTTATTTTGATTTTTTTTTTTTTATTTTATTATTTCATCTTAATTTGGACTTTATTAATGATTTCATCTTAATTTGGACTTTATTAATGATAGATTTTAATAAAATAATTTCCAAAATAAAAAACCAATTTCGGAAAATCAATAATTAATTTTTGGAAATGAGAAAATGAATTAAAAATGGAAAAAAAAAATTAAAAATAAGGTTTGACCAACATTTAAAAATAAATCAAAAATCAACCAATCATAATTAAGTATAATCATGGTCACAATATAGAAAACCATAGTAGAAACATCCTATTTAGATGTGTTTTATAATACAAAAAGTATTGTGAATTTATATGTTTATACTACAATAGTATTGTTGTTAAGACATCTGATTAAATCCGAAAGAAATTAAAGAATGAAAGACGTGAAAAAAGGTTTAAATATTCCTCAAAATAGTTAATACATAGGGACAAATTAAAGTAGATAATACGAAGTACTGAAGTAGAAAAGTTAGTAATAGTAGTATCGAATTCGAAAAATTCAAAGCTATCATCATGCATGAGTGCTGAGTGCTGAGTGCATAACCCCTTGTGAGTGGAGAACCTTCCTCAGCCACCATCTCCACAATCCATTAGGGTTGACCCACCTCCCTTTTTTCATGAATATTTTCTTGCTTGTTTATTTAAACCCATAAATACTTGTCAAAGATAGAAGTATCAAGTAAACCATAAATTCTTATGAGAAGGTATTGGGTGCGGACAACCACACGCAAATTTGGTGCAGACAACTTGACTGATATATTTTACTTGTTGGCTGATATGTTTCATTTATTGGCTGGTATGGTTTTTGTGTTGACTAATATTCTTTTTGTTGGTTGATATATATATATATATATATATATATATATATATATATATATATATATATATATATATATATATATATATATATATATATATATATATATCTTTTTTTTTTTTAATTTTTGAAAGGTTCCTTGTATTGGCTAATATCAGACATCATTTGGCTTATATATTTCTTTAGTTGGCTAATATATTTATTTTGTTGACTGATATGTATATTTTATATGTTTCATTTTGTTGGCTGATATGTTTATTTTGTTGACTTACCTATTGCTTTTGTTTGCTGATTTCATCCTTTTGTTGGTTGATATAGTCTTCTTGTTGGCTGATATATTCTTTTTGTTGGCTGATATATTACTTGTATTACCTGATGTACAGAGTATATACAAGTACAAAGTATTTTTATTTCATTCTTTCTCCTCTTTCCTCCCTTCTTCTCTTTCTTTTTCTCTCATGTTAGCAGATTCACAATCACGCCACCCCTCACTCCCTCTCCTTCTTCTTCGTTCCTTACTTCCCTTTCCTCCTCAGATCAGTCCGGCCACCGATCCTCGCTACGCCGTTCACCAAACCCAGGCCACCGCACCCACAAACCACCGAATCCAGGCCACCGCACCCACCACTAGCGAACTCCACAGCGAATCGCACCACCACCGGCAAACTCCACCAGCGAATCGCACTTCCACCGCCACCTGCACCAGCGAATCGCACCTCCCCTGCGATCTTGAATCAGAGGATGCTCGTTGTCGCCAAAGAATTTATTCTTCATCTCCTCCGTCGTCGTCCTTGTCTCTAACAAGTATTAGTTCTCTCTATTTTTTTAAAAAAAAGAATTGGTTTGGTTTTGAGTAATGTGGAATTTAAATTGGATTGAGTTGAATTTGAGTGGATTGAGTTGAATTTGATTGAATTGGATTTTGCAGTTGGTGGAACTTGGAAGAATGTGAGTTGCCGCACAAACTATTGGGTGAAAGGCATCCACACCCAATAGTTTGTGAATTCTTATTCCCTCTTCCCTTTTTAATTATATCGGTGAGCTATTAATGACTCTTTTAATTCAAAATGAATTATATATTTTTAAAAAAAAATCTATATATATATATCATATATGTACGAAGTATGTTTTAATGTAAAGATAACAATTTATGAACAACTACCCTATTAATTTATTTAACTATAATTATGTAAAGTATGTTTAACACTTCGTGTTGTTAACTCAAATAATCGAAATTTTAACAATCCTATGATATCAAATATCTTTTACTAGTTAATGAACTTTATGAGTTGACAATTTGACATATGTACATGTTTGATATATTCTTTACAAAAAAGATAGAGCATCTCTTCCTAAAGCAAGATCGATATTCACATATGACAATTCATGTAAGTAAAAGTGTATAACCTTCGAATTCATATAATAGTCGATCGTACAACAATCATAATTATGTCCTCCCAAAAATTTTAGGTAGAGTTGATTCCTTCATGTCACGTGAATGCATATGTTGCCTTAAAATATTATCTATATCTTACAGCTTTTTCACAGAAGATGCGAACTTTATATGGTCAATGCATCTAAAGCATAAATCATAATATCCTTTTATAATTTTAACTCCATCCCTAGTAAAGTCAACGACCTAAGGATTTTGGTGTATGTACTATGGTTTCTCTCTGTCGTTTTTCATGGAATATATATTTGCTTATACATTTTTTTTTTACTTTATTTTGTAATTGCATAATAGTGACAGTTAATATTATCACTATGTCTACAAGGCTATGTTAGACCTTGTTATATCATCTTTTTTTGGGAAATACAAACTTCTTATAAGTTTAGATAAAACAATTTAAGAAAAAGTAAGCTAAAATAAACTCATATAATTATAATTAGGTGAATAGAATGCACTCCTTTACAGTGGGAAAGATTCGCCAAATATACATCATACCAAATGACCTTCTCCCAAAAAGTATATGATAAGTTGATCACTTATATATATAGTAAAAAAAAAAAAAACAAGTTGATCTTCTTAAAAGAATAACAGTATAACTACAGTTCAGTATAAATCTCAAAATAATAATAACCCTAAATGCAAACTACACGCAAAATGAACAAACCTTAATTAAAAACATAGAAAAAATGCATGGCAAGTGGCAGCCAATTTTATTTGAATATTGAATATTGAATATCTATATTTTATTTAGTATTCAAATTAAAATTCATAAACCTAAGAGAATAAATGCCTCTTGTTTTAGAATTTCAGGTTGATCATGATAATTATATACGAAGTAGTTACATTTAAATATAATTAAGTGAAGGTTAGACAAAATGCAGTTTATTGAAAGCAACTTGATTGCAAATAAAGTTGTTGCCTTAATAAGTTTATTAGTAGACAGTATGCATGTAGTAAGAGTATATGCTAATGGTGAATTTGTGCTAATCAGGTTTCGCATATTGTTAGTGCCTGTGGCTGCCGATGCAGATTCCCCCCACTTTTTGCAGCTCATTTAGACGCCACTGCTCAGCCATGCATGTAAAGGAGCAATATCTTCAATTAGTCCTTTTCCTTACAAATATAAATATATACTAGAGGTGGAGCGAAGTTTAATTTGGATAGTGACAATGACTATACAAAGATTTATTAAGATTCTTTTGACATACAATTGTACTGTTTACTGTAATAATCAGGAGTCGGAAAGGGGCGTGGGCTGGGGGGCGCGTGGCATACTTAAACCCCTTAAAGGTTCTTCGTATTATATATGTATGCCTTTTAAACGGTAAAAACATAGACTTGAGAGTAACATTTAATTGCTTTTGATAGAAATATAGAGCATTGTTTGCTGAAAGGATCAGTAGAGATCGCCGGGGAAAAGAAAAGTGGAAAATAAAGTCCAAGGATGATTATAATGGAATTACTGGTTAGGGACCAATGGAAGAAAATCGCCTATAAAGGTGGGATTATTAGATAATAATCAAAAGGTGAGATTATTAATGGCGAACCGGCCAAAGGTGAGATTATTAGAATCAATTTTTCCTAAAAACAATTGGCAGTGTTACATTATAACTCTTAAGTCTGATCTATACCATTTTTTATATTTTATTGAAGAAACTATAATTTACGCGAAGAAATTATCTCCCAACTTGATCTTAGAAAATTACATACATATATATCTGATTACTAGGTTAGGTCCCGTGCCATGCACGGTAATTTTCAATAACTACTCTATAATTATTAACATTATATTTAATTATAAAAAAAATCTATTTAAATTACTACTTTGTAAAATGAATTAATTATGAAAGAGTCTATTATTAGCAAAATAGATAATTTAATATACACATATATGTATATTTATATATATTTCACTAACTAATTTATATAATTTCTTCTTTTAACCAAATGAATATCTTATATACACTATTAATCCATTCCCTCTTACGCGGTATTTATTTTTCTTCTCAATAATCAACTGCCTTAGAAAAAATTTCATATCTTTCCTAGCAAGCTTTTCAAACATAATTAAATACACAAATATTTTTTTAAAAAATAATCCTTGTTGAAAAAATGGTAAGAGTAGTATATAGGACTATGTATGTCACAAATTATGTTAAGAATTTGATTTTTATTTTTTTAACTTTAGCTTATGGTATCAATATATATAGTGCAAGGATACATTAAATCTTTTTAATCTTCTATTTATATATAAGATTTGTTTACTAAATAGTTTTTTTTTTTTTTTTTTTTTTTTTGACATACCAGAAAATGACACGTGTCATTGCTGGTGTGTCATTTATTATATAGTTATTGATTATTGATTGATGCTAGGTTGACTTTAACAAATTAGATAATAATTAAAATGCCACTTTATGAAGCTTAATAATGCATATAGTAACGTAGGCATGTATAGACGGTATAGTATGATGTTATTTAATTTTGGCGTTTTTCTTAAAGGTTATAGCTAAGCCTAAGATTATTATTATTATGTACCCTACTAAACGGGAAAAAGGGGGTGAAGAAGAAGAAGAAGAATTTATAGGCAAATAATATGATGCATACACTTGTCATGAATAAGCTAATTTAAGGTGATAAATCAAAGTTGTAAAATTTTAAACGGCTATTTCACCAAATGTCACTGAGTAATTTCGAAATTCACCAAATGTCATCGAACTTTTCAAAATTCACCAAATGCCACTGAGTTTTAGTATAATATCACCAAATGCCATTTCCGTTAGTTGTCCGTCACTGACCGTTACTTGACCGTTAGTTGACCCCACCACTTGCCACGTGTCACCTTCTGGTTGGTCCCTTTTTTAAAAAAAAAAAACCAAACCCCAGCCCCACCACCCTCCCTTTCCTCCATAACTTCCGACCAACACCACAACTACCACCCCCTCAACCCCACCACCAGAAAACGCGTCAGATCCAACAGCCCCCCTTCCCTTTCCCTTCCTCTTCCCCCGACGCCGGCGACATTGTTGGTAATGAGGAGTGTTTTTCCGGGGAGAAGAGTCGGAAGGCGAATCCCAATTGGGAACTGCCGGAGCTCCGTGAAAGTAAAGCGGCGGGGAACAGTACAAGTGCCACTGAGTAGGGTTGCTCTGAGAGGGAAAATGGAGGGGTCAGTTTGAGAAACAGTTACACTAGACGAAAAAGCTAATTTGGCACCGGTTCAAACCCCCCCTAAGGCACCGGTTTTGAACCGTTGGGGATTTGAGGGGTGCCAAATCCCCAAAAATTTGGCACCTGTTAACCGGTGCTAACTACACATTTTGGCACCGGTTAACTGGTGCGAAATGTTAATGCGCGCTTTTTTTTTTTTTTAATTTAAACTTCAATTGGCACCGGTTAACCGGTGCCAAATACGCCTTCAAACAGTAAAAAAAAAAAAAAAAATATTTCAGCATAACATTTATTCATCAATCCAATTTATACATTCAATCCAAAACTTGAAATCGAACAAGCTAAGGCTATATTCATCAAATAAATTGTTTTTTTTTTTACAGTTTATTAAAAAAAAACAGAATAATTGCTGAAAAATAAATTACAATCCAAAACCCAGAAACTTCGAACATCAACTCAGCAAATTCACGTCCTTCAAATCTGCATCAATTGAAACAATAAAATTAGATAAATCGAACAAATAAACCCCAAAAAAATCGAAAATCAATAGAACAAATTAACCAAAAAAATCGAACAAAAATCGATGAAAATAACCCCTTAAAAACGAACGATTAACCCAGATAAATTCAACAAAAAAAACCAAAAATAAATGGAAAAAATAAACCCCAAAAAAATCGAAAATAAATCGAACAAATAACCCCAAAAAATCGAACAACGCACTAAGATTCAACCCAGATAAATTCAACCAAAAAAACAAAATATAAATAGAACAAATAAACCCAAACAAATCGAAATACAATCGAACAATTAAACCCAAAAATCGAACACAAATCGATCAATTAAACCCCATTAAAAACGAACGATTTACCCAGATAAATTCAACTAAAAAAACAAAAAATAAATAGAACAAATAAACCCCAAAAAATCGAAAATAAATCGAAGAAATAAACCCAAAAAACCGAACAAAAATCGATCAAATAAACCCCTTAAAAACGAACGATTTCGCACAAAAACACCCTCACAGATTCAACCCACAAAACCCATAAACCTAGAATCGTGAAAAACCCATAAATCGTGAAAAACCCAGCCAAAATTGTGAAAAACCCAAAACCCAGAAACCCTAACCTCAAATTTGACGGCAGCGGCTTGGTTGTTGTGTTGGCTGTTGTGCTTGGTTGGAGAGAGAAGAACAGAGATGAGAGATGAGATCAGAGATAAGGAATTGAAGGAGAGAGACATGCATGCATTCAGAGATAAGGAATTTCAGAGAGCTAAGAGAGAGTGAAAAATAAATTGAAGAAGAAATGAAGGAGTTAAAATCCAGAAACTTGGCATATATAGCTTTGTTTTAAACTCGTTTTATTTTTATTTATTTTTTAAAAATAATCAGTTGGCACCGGTTAACCGGTGCGAACTCTATTCTTTTTTTTTTTAAGAAAAATTAATCAGTTGGCACCGGTTAACCGGTGCGAACTCTATTCTTTTTTTTTTTTTTTTAAAAAAATACAGTTGGCACCGGTTTGAACCGGTGCCAACTCTGAAATTTTAACTCGCGCTCGTTTTAGTTGGCACCGGTTTTCATGAACTGGTGCTATAGGGTGGTGCCTATTTCCGTTAGTTGACCGTCACTGTCCGTTACTTGACCGTTAGTTGACCCCACCACTTGCCACGTGTCACCTTCTGGTTGGTCCCTTTTTTAAAAAAAAAATTAAACAAAAAATATTTTTTTTTTAAAAAAAAACCAAAAATATTTTTTAAAAAAAAAACCCCAAACCCCAGCCCCACCACCCTCCCTTTCCTCCATAACTTCCGACCAACACCACAACAGCCACCCCCCTCAACCCCACCACCAGAAAACGCGTCAGATCTAACAGCCCCCCTCCCTTTCCCGTCCTCTTCCCCCGACGCCGGCGACATTGTTGGTAATGAGGAGGGTTTTTCCGGGAAGAAGAGTCGGAAGGCGAATCCCAATTGGGAACTGCCGGAGCTCCGTGAAAGTAAAGCGGCGGGGAACACTAAAAGTGCCACTGAGCAGGGTTGCTCTGAGAGGGAAAATGGAGGGGTCAGTCTGAGAAACAGTTAGCCCAGTTGTTGAAATCTCCACCTCCGACAATTGCGTCGATGATCGAGTTGAATTGCAGTTGTTGCGGTGTTTCTTGGAGGTGAGCCGACGGTGGTCGTGCGATGACCGAGAGCGACGGAAGAGGCGGAGGTGACGGTGATGCGGTTGGGGCGATGCTGAAGGTGGTGAAGTTGATTTCAATGGAGGAAGGGGGGTGGGGTTTCGGGGTGGTGGAGGAAAAGGGGTGGGGTTTCGCGAGGTAGGGGTTTGGGCTAGGGTGGGTGGCACGATGGGGAAAAGGGTGGGGGTCCGCCGGCTACCAGCGCGCCTTTCGGTGCTGGCTTCGGTGGCAAGGGGGATGGCGGTGCTGCCTGGTGGTGGGCTGGTGGCAGCAATTTGGCGGTTTTTTTTTTTAATTATTTTTTTAAATATTTTTGGTTTTTTTTTTATTTTTTTTAAAAACGGACCAATCAGAAGGTGACATGTGGCAAGTGGTGGGGTCCACTAATGGTCAACTAACGACTGTCAGTCATTAATAGCACTCGGTGAATTTTGTTAAAACGCGGTGGCATTTGGTGAATTTTGAAAAGTCGGATGATATTTGGTGAATCGCAATTACACAGTGGCATTTGGTAAAATAGCCGAATTTTAAAATTGGGTATTTGTGGTCTAACAATGCCACCCATTCAGCAAACACTCACTCTCAATCGTCTTTTGTAGTTTTGACCCTAAATAAAGGCAACCTAACTTAAATAAACGTTCTTATTTTTGGTAAATTCAAACCTTAACTTAGCCACCATTTGTCATTTTCTTTCGCCTTTAGCTGCACTTTGCCTCACTCACCAGGCCACCACCCCTCTTTGGCTTATTTTGTCACTTTTTAATTAATTAGTATATATATACTTTCTTTGTGCACAAATAATTTATTGTTAGATTTGAGTATGCATATTAAGGTTTTAATAAGGTGAGGTCGTGTCGGAATATTACAGTTGAAAAAAATCAACTGAAAGATACTCCGTATACTAATTGCCTAATTGAATTGGTATGAGTGGTATGACGTAGGTGAGATAAGCATGAACACATATTCCCATGAGTTCGTTGGTCAAATTTCTAGTTTAACTAACATGATCAAAGATTTTGGCTCTATTTCATTGACATATTTTATTTGATCTAAACTTGTAAAGTATGAAACTCGTCTAAAATAAAACTTGTTTTTGCGCATGGTGAAACTATCTAAAATCAAGCATAATAAGTTGAATAGATGACTAGGGTCATTGGGTGAACAGAGGAGTTAGATAGGTGGATAGATAGCTTAATATAAGGGTTAGCTATATATTACTCGTACTCCATAATAAGTAGGAATGTATCTTAAATAAGTCAATTTTGAGGTTGAATTCTTGATTTGTACTACTATGTTTCTGATTGGAGGAAGTATTGCTTCTAGATAAT